GTCATGGGGCTTCCCCTGACCTGGATTTTATCTCTCCGTCACCGGCAGAATCGCTGATTAATGCCTACAGTTCAAAATAGTCATTTTGACTGACCGGAGTCTATGGTGGGTATGAACTATGTGAATAGGCGGGTTCGGAGAACCCTCGCCTAATTCTAAGTCTAATTTACTTTTCCTGTAGTTTTCACTAGGAATTGCAAGCCTGCTCGACTACTTGGAGCACTCCCCGATGGGATCGCTTCTCATTACAGACTTTAAGTTGGACCAAATGTTGTTGGTGGATGGTGTGCTGAAACTTGGTGATTTAGACGATATCAATAATATTGAAAGCGACTGCCAAGACACAAACTGTGGAATCCTACAACAAAACTGTAAAAAGAAGATATGTGCTATTGAGAACACAGAATTAGGTGATCTATTATAACTTGTGATCATTAGCCATAATTTCATTACAAAATTGAGGTGGCAAATATTATAAAAATTTATAAAATGGCCTTGCTGACTCATCCAACTGTATTTTAATAAAATATATTTTCTTTTTTTTTTCTATCCATATAGATATTCAATGTGTCAACAACAAGTGTATTGGGTTCAACGCAAAGTTCAATTTATTTAAATTCAACCACCATGTGTTCACTCGTGTTCTACATAACCCACCTGCCAATGTGTCTTTTGAAGTAAAAAATATTCAAGATAGACTGAATGCGTTGAATATCACTGCCACTGAACTATACACTAGTCTGTTGGCTATTCAGTACACATGACAACAATAACCAAAGTTAATAACCAAAGTTAATACCTAATGTGATACAAGAGATCATACTTAATTTGCCTCAAGTGTAGTACAGGAATGTCATTCCTACATGATGTCAATACAATACAAATCAAGAGCTTCTGTGGCACCAACAGTATGAGAAGTACCCTAGTTGTTCGAAGATATCCACCACACATTTCATATATGTGTATATATTCATATATATTTTTTTATATATGCAGTTATTCTTCTTAAAGTAAATAGTGAATAAGTTTACACTTCCTATATATGAATATATATTTATAGATCTATAGGAGTCTAAAAATTGTATACAACAATGAGGAGATATATCACAGTATACACAAGTTGTGCTTGAACTAGTTATGTCATGTTGCATTACGACTTACAGCAATAATACCTGTTTAAATTTATTCAAGAATATTGCAATAAACCTTATTTAAAGACCACATAATAGTAATAATAATACCACTTTGTAGAAGCTTACAAATACTCTATTATCCATGTACAAACAGTATCTCGTGTATATCAGTGTTCACGAAATGTGGCACCAATAGTAAAGTCGATGAGAATGTGACCATACATTGAATGGCTGCCGAGATATCATTGAGTGTGCGAGTACTACTATTTGAAGGGCAAAAATATTTTTTTCGTTCTCATTCTCAACAAGATCTTGGTGACTATTTGCATGTAAAGTCTATTGAGAAGTAAATGAAACATCAACTTGACTGTTAATTAAAATGTCATCAAATGACCATAGCAGCATATATTGTATAAAATGTAACAAGACTTGCTAATACTATACAGGATGGTATGTTAAAATATTTACAATTTATTAAAAAAAAAACGTATCACCTTACTTGATGAATAAAAGGCTGTGTTGCCAAATCCGTTGCAAAAATTTAGACCCTTTTGTGCACATCCAGTAAGTAACCTTTTTAGAAATTTGGAGTCTGTGCATGCATGACCCTTTTCTCAGACATGCTGTGGCAAAGCTTATTCATAATGTATAATTACTTGTATATGCACATCAATTTTTATTTGATCAAATTATGGACCTAAAATTTTGATAAAATTCTGATATTTAAACGTGTCCAGAAATGTTTCTCGAGATGGACAGATCAACTACGTTCAATTACCCACCATAGACCCCATTCAGTCAAAATGACTATTTTGAACTGTAGGCATTAATCAGCGATTCTGTCGGTGATGGAGAGATAGAATCTAGGTCAGGGGAAGCCCCATGACCTCAAGATTCTTTTACCCCTTACGTCACGAACCCACGTGACCGAGGCCACATGGCACTGCCACAGGTAGCCGTCAATCACTCTGATTTTTTCTCCGCCTCGAGTGGAGATGAAATCTAGCGAGCTCTGCTGGATCGCCTGCTTTTTTTTCCTGTCCGGATTTCTAGCTTGGGTTGTTGCCGCTGCACGGCATCCGACATTGTAGCTGGTAGCTGTCATTTTTTTACCCTCGTGTCGTTTTCCCCTTTGTGTGTTATGCTTTTCCACAACAAAGAAATTAAAACCTGGCGCCACTACGTAACCACACGTTGGTTTCATGGCAGCACCTTTTACAACTGTAATTAGTTTCCCTCATGCATATCGTCTTTTATTTACAATGTATTTAGCAATATATA